GCATAAAAATGTGATAGTATAGTAAGGCACAAAAAGTCATAAAAATGTCATAGTATAGTAAGGCATAAAAAGTCATTGAAACGACATAGTATAGTAAGGCATAAAATGTCACGAAAACGTCATAGTATAGTAAGGCATAAAAAGTCACTAAAATGTCATAGTATAGTAAAGCATAAAAACGTCATAGTATAGTAAGGCATAAAAAGTCATTGAAACGACATAGTATAGTAAGGCATAAAATGTCACGAAAACGTCATAGTATAGTAAGGCATAAAAAGTCACTAAAATATCATAGTATAGTAAAGCATAAAAACGTCATAGTATAGTAAGGCATAAAAAGTCATTGAAACGACATAGTATAGTAAGGCGTAAAAAGTCATTAAAACGTCTTAGTATAGTGAAGCACAAAAAGTCATTAAAACGACATAGTATAGTAAAGCATAAAAAGTCACTAAAACATCATAGTATAGTGAGGCATTAAAATGTGATAGTATAATAAGGCATAAAAAGTCATTAAAACAGCATAGTATAGTAAGGCATAAAAACGTAATAGTATAGTAAGGCATAAAAAGTCATTAAAATGACATAGTATAGTAAGGCATAAAAAGTCACAAAAATTTCATAGTATAATAAAGCATAAAAACATACTATAGTGAGGCACAAAAAGGCATAAAAACGTCATAGTATAGTAAGCATAAAAATGTGATAGTATAGTGAGGCACAAAAAGTCATAAAAATGTCATAGTATAGTAAAGCATAAAAAGACATAAAAACGTCATAGTATAGTAAGGCATAAAAAGTCACAAAATGTCATAGTATAGTAAGGCATAAAAAGTCACAAAATGTCATAGTATAGTAAGGCATAAAAAGGCATAAAAACGTCATAGTATAATAAGGCATAAAAAGTCATAAAAACATCATAATATAGTGAGGCCTAAAAAGTCACAAAAATGTCATAGTATAGTAAGGCATAAAAGGTCATAGAAATGTCATGGTAAAGCAAGGCATAAAAAGTAATAAAAATATCATAGTAGAGTAAGGCTTAAAAAGTCACAATAACGGACTCTTGTATCCAAACATCAAGAAAGTCTCTAAAACCTTATTTTGTGGCTTATTTAAGAAATATCCGATTTTTGTGCTTACAATTCATTGATTAGTTGATCTGACTGGAGAAACAACTTTAATAATCAATGAAAAAATGTAGGTCTTTTATCATGTAAAAATGTCAAATATTCACCTATTCCTCAAATGTTAGTTTAATGCTTTTTTTCTGGTTTGGAGTATTTTGGATTGTCACTGAGCGGTTTGGTTTTGATTACTTATCTATGAAAACGATTGTTAGTTTTATTTGCATAGTACCTTTAATGCAGCTTGGGGCATATGCCAATTATCTCACCCATTCATTCTTGTGCAGGCAGTACAGTGAGAACCCAACAGACTACATCAGTCAAAGTTTTAGTCTCTGAAGGAATGCAGACCCACTATAAACACAGACTGGAGCTGCCTAACACTGATAGAAATGTTAATAAACCTCCAGCCTCCAGTCCTTAAGATCTTCAATCACCAGCAGCATTCAGGATTTCTCCTTCATGTTTCAATAACAGTAATTACAGCTGCCACTGTTCTGGATAGAGTGATGGTCAAGTCAAAGAAAACTGATAACATGATTGTGCAGTGATTAACACTTTAATGAAAATGTACAGTTGACCCAATAAGCACAAAGCAAGCATCACCATAACAGATATTCACCTCAACAGCATCACTCTCCCTGTTAGTGGTGCAGGGCCTCATAAACACAAGCAGCATCAAGACAACCTCCACCTGTTATTACAGTAAAGAAGAAATCTCAGCCGTTGATTATTTTTGAAACAGTATCATATAATCAGAGAAGGTCCTGGTGCAGGTCGAATGAAGTACATTTCAAAGACGAACGACACAGAGGTTAATTCCATGTCATTTCCTGTAGAGTATCGCACTTCTGAACAGAAAACGCAGGCCATAACTCTATAGGCACTTCAGTGGCACCTTCAACCATTCCTACTTAACAGTGTAAGGCAGAAAATGAGCCAAAGAGACTGAAGCAGAGCGAGAATGTGCTTTAACAGGATAAAATGATTTACAGGTATGAGATTCCCATTAGAGTGTGCTAATTGTTTCCACACCATTAGTGACAGTTATCTAATGAAGGATATTTAACCAGGCGCTGTAGTATATCACACAGTTCCTCGTGGTGGCCCCCAGTCTATGCCCTTTCCACCTGCGCCACCTCAGTAGCACGCAGATCATTGGGACATATTTACAGGACAGCACAAGCAAAGCAAACTGTGTGTTTTTTTCCTGTACATGTACACTTTAAACAAAAGCTAAACAACTTGTTAAACCATAAGTTGATTTGCGAAAAATAAAAAAAAAGGCACAAAGATGAATCCCTTGGAGACTAATTACCCATACCCATGTGGGCTTTGTAAAATATATACATTTAAAACAATGTAAAATACAGTAGATCATTCAAACAAGCCTGAAATGTTATTGCAGCAGGTAGGATGATTCAGCTATAAAAAGGGGATTTTTTTTTTTTTTTTTTTATAAACATACTCAGGGATTAAGGAATATGTACATCATAGAACAATGCAATCATTTTTTTTGTTAAATTACAACCACACAGCTGTAAGTAAACAATTCCTAAAATTTGTTTTGCTCCACAATCAACCATTCTTAACGTAAGGGCTCAGCTTTTAAGAACAGGCAGTAAAACATGTGGGAGAACAAAAAACAATGAAAGCTTTAAGCTGGAGAGAAGCGGCAGTGTGTACCTCCTCCAGATGTCAGTCAATGCTCAAAAAGTATGTGAAATTTCACAATCAGGAACAATAAGTATTGTGTTTTAATGCTCATAGCACTATGAACAATGTTTGAACTGTGCACATGTCACAATGGTCATGGAGCATGTCAGTCAGATCCAGGGGCAGCTTCTTCTTGCTCCACACTTCACTCGCTGCTTTCTTCCAGCTCCTTTTTCAAGCTGCAGACAGAGACAGAGAGAACTTTAGTGTTCACCAACTTAGACATAATACAAAAATACACATTTTAAAAGTTTACAGATGTTCCAGTCACCTTTTCAGGTAGGCATGCACATTATCAAAGCCGTGGTATTTAGCCAAGTAAACCAAAACCCCCGTAGCACAGCGGCCTTCTCGGGCACGGCAGAAGCTGCAGTTACAGATCCCCCTGCATGGTGGGCACTGCCACTCCTACCAAGAGCAATGAGAAGGAAATGAGTCAGACTTGCCCGTCACATACATGATCAAATGTCAATACAACCTTGTATGTTAAAGAGCTCACCGGATTCAACAGAGCGTCTCGGACCTCCTCTCCATAGCGGTTACGGAGACAGGGGCCGCAGAACTGACCTCTCACTCCCATGCACTCTGGATTACGGCAGTTAGTTTTGGTGTCGATTGTTTTCTGGCGGCACTGGTGGCAAGTTGATCCCTGAGGGAAAGAAAAAAGGTTTTATCTTCAGGTACGGAGCTTTACAAGAAAAATTTGCAGCTGCTCAAACCTTCTCAGTGAATATGCAACCTACAGTGGAGCTGTTGTAGACTTTCTCCCGCACATTCTGGCAGATGCGCTGCAGCTCTGCCTCTGTGATGTCCTCTACAGGCCGCACCACATGAGGGATGGCCTTGGTACCATTGAAGCAACGGCGACGAGGCTGAACAAGAAATAAATGCAGTTAATTAGAACATGATTAATGCCTGCATATTATTAGAATTTACGGCAACGTACAAGGAGACAGACCATATGTGAAATGACTTACTGGCTCATACTCTTCCTCATAGAAGCGGCTTTTGCGAACCAGGCTGAACTTATCCTCTGGCTCCTCCTCTGGTGGCGGGCTAGGGGGTCCATCCACCAGTGTGCGGGATCGTGTGTGGGGTCGAGACAAACGCTCTGATTTTCTCCTGCAAGCTACCGGGGTTCCCATTGACCGCCGAGGTGCCTGTCGGGGCTGAAGAGTTTTAAATATCAGTTAAACACAGAACCCTGATAAGGCACACTCCGCTTTAGTGGTATGCGTGAAACAGCAAGTTCAATAGTTAATCTTTAAGTGAAATTACCGTAGAGGATGCTGACATTGCCATCCGTCTTGGGAACAGTCCAGGTACTTTGTTCAGCTCTGCCATGAGCTTTGCAAGCTATAAATACATATATATGAATGAATGAATGAATGAATGAATGAATGAATGAACGAACGGATACAGAATAAATTTGAGCAGTTCTGATCCAAGTTCAGAAATAATTAAATGTGAAAATAGAGTAGACTATACCATTTCTTTGTTCTCCTTAATATTCAGGGCTCTCTTGTCCATGAAGTTCTCCTCCTCAGAGTCAGAGTCATGTACTTTGGGTTGAGGGAGGGGTTCGGATGCAGGCCTCTTCTTGCCCTGCTTCTTGGTGGGGAATGTCATGGCAACCTTCAGAATGGTGGGTCTGCGGCCACGTCTCCGTGGTTCAGAGTCTACTTTCTGAAGGAAAATACAATTTACACTTAGAATAAACTTTTGTGGCGTCTAATCCAAGTCATGAAATTGATTTTTTTCCCACAAACTTACCATGGATTTCATCTGCCTGTTGATTTCACTCTCCTCAAACCCACTGCATGTATCCTCCTCTGATGTAGCTTCAAACACCTTTGGTTTCTCTGCCATCCTCCTCGTCTGTCTTAAGTTGCTCCTCTAAACAGAGACACAGGCATTAGTTACAGATGGTGCTGCAAAGATCGTACACATTCACCATCATTTAATGGGGTTATAATTATGCTGAGAGTTGGTATTTTATTGTTACCGTATTTGCAAAACCTCCATCGGACCCAAAGCTATCACAGCTGTCATCAGAGGAAGAAGAGGAAGTCTCCATGGGAACCAGCGGGACGCTGCGAAAGCTCCTCAAGTTCATCCTGGTGGATGGAGGTGGATGGACTGCCAGTTTCTATAAAATGATAAACAACGGGTTTAGAAAACATGAGTCTTTTTTGACTAAAAGTTAACTTTACACAGTCAGGAGATTTCTGTCTTAACTCAATAGCCCGCAAACATGGAAGGAGGGTGGTTTATCAAACTACCTTTACAAGGTACCTGAGAATACTAGTCCAAGACACTTAGAGCATCGACCACTGGGCTGTGTGTCTGCTGGAGTATGCATTAAGTTGTGTAGGCACCAATGTCTGAGTCAACTTGGATAAATAATATTTGATTTCTTTAGGTGATCTTGCATGCTCAGCTTTAGATAATTTACATAATGGCTAGCTACAAGTAACTATTTCCACCATGATCAATAATATGTCCATTTCTCAACTGATCATTTGGTCAATAAAATGTCAGAAGATTAAAAACCTGAAGCCCCGTGAACATGTTCAGTTTAACGCCACTTTTAGCATAAAAGCTTAAAATCCGTAAATATAAGACAAATTTAAAAAATACTCTAATCAAAATATAAAAATACAAGATAACGTTAGTTCTCTGTCCGTAATCGATTATTAGACCAGTGTTTAAGTGTGCCTATGGGACACATCCCTGTGACAAAACAAGCTAAATGTAGGCAACTGGGTCGTACATTTTTCGATACAATTATTGTAATATATAAATATAACTACTAAATGTTAAAGCAGGGCCGATTTAACATTAACTTTAGCTCACTGTAACTGGAGAAGTAGGATTTAAATGATAACCTAACTGTTATAGTGTTATCATAACTGGATATTTTACTATCAAGGCGATAAACATAAAACTGCTGAGAAAGGATAAATTTTCTTTTTTTAAATTAGGCTGCTTCTCTTACCTTAGAGCGGGTGGAAGGCATTTTTCTTTTTAAAAATCTTCCTGCACACAGACACACAAACACAACGTGCAGCAGTTCTGCAGAGAACAATGCAGGTCCTGCAGCTGCACGTAGCCCGGGCTCTGTTCATTTCCCGCGCCACCGGAAAGTCCTGAAAGATGCATAAAATAAAATCACGTATTTTATACTTTCTGTAAGAAAAGGAAGGTCAAAAAACTAGCCGAAACTTGGTATACACATTTTAAAACATGTTCTAATTTTTTAGTTAACAAACTTTTAAAAACAAATAAATGTATTATGCATCTATGAAATTAAAGCAGTGTATCTTCCATGTACTTTGCCGTGGCGCGAATTTTTTATTTGACAATTTGCATACAAGGCGGGTAAAATCTTGACTCCTCTCCAGCTTCAGATCAAAGTTTCAAACTGAAACTGATTTGTGTGTTCAGGTTAAGGTTCAGCAGTTGCTCACACATTGAAGTACACAGGGCATAATAAATGAGATATATGACACTGTACTCAAACTTCAAAATATGAATATTTCAGTTACATTTTATCTGGGTTACAGTTTACAAAGGAATTAAATGAAGGGGGTTATTGGCAAAGGAGGCACTGAAACAAGGAGATATGGAAATTTAATTCAATACAGATGGGAGTACCATCACTGAAGTCTGGCAACAAATCCAGATGAAACAAAAACAGGGCAAAATGTTTTTGTAAACAGCAGGGAGTGGAACAACTTGAAACACCAAGGGAAGCAAAGTAATAAGAATGGAGTGGGACACCATACCAGAATGAACAAAACATTTAATTTATGTGACCATTAAACAGCTAAGTCAGTAGATCATGTACTATATCAGTGCCAAAAATACATACAAAAACAGACACACCCAAGAAAGAATGGATTGGAAAAAATGAGTCTGAAAATTTTATTTAACCTTGAATGTGGCATTGTAACACTGTTTATTTGGTTACTTATAAGAAACTGGTAAATGATAAATGTAATAAATAAATACATATACAATTTTTTATGCAACATTATTGCTGGATGCCATCTGCCATTCAGTGGAAAGAAAAATAAAGAAGACTGAATTGTCCATTTTTCTAATAATAATTAGAGTATAGGCTCATTTATATTAACCAGACAGATTTTAAAAATAAAATCTTATTTGGTCAAACAGAAGCATCAGTGTGATTCTCTTACAACAAGCAGTTCATTTTTGAGCAAGTAAGTAGACATAATTCATATGCAAAACCTTTTCAGTGCATGACATGTTCAGCATACAAGGAGCTGTCAGTACGTGTGGCCCACATTAAGTTCTTCCCCCAGCACCACGCCCTCCCCTGCCGCCTCTCCTCTGTCGACCTCTGACTTGTTTATTGTCCTGACGCGGTAATCTTTTCTGTCGCTCCACTTTGATCCACCCTCCATCGCTGGATTTGGCCCCTTCTTTATCCTCACTGGGGTTTTCTGTCACAGACAATATACCTGGTATCATGGGTGGGCGGTTCTGTGATGTGACACTGTAACTGCTGGACCGTGGCCTCCCTGGCTGTCGTAAGGTTTTGCCGGTTTTATTATGAATATAGCTTCCTCTACTATTGGTCCATGCATGCCCCCTACCCTGTTCCCTTCCCACAGTTAATGTGTTGCCAAAGTAGCTGTTTCTGCGGTGGTCATGCACTGCTCCAGCACTGAGTGGGCGCTCTCGTTCCCTCTCTGAGGTGCTCTCTGATGTAGTGCTGGAAGGACTGCTGCCCTTTGACCCCAGATGGAGCAGCGAGAGTTTGGCTGACAGACTAGCAGTTGGCGAGGAGCTGCGTGAGTCAATCCAGGAAGATGCGTGGACACGGTTTGGAGAGCGACGCACAGCTGCAGCATAAGAGAACTCCTGGCTTTCATGTGCAGACAGGAACTGAGGCAGAGTGCGGGCATCAGAGCTAGTGAAGGCAGTCCGAGCAGTAGTCGGCTGCAGGGATTTCTGGGTATTCATCTGCCTTAACCTTACGTTGTACATCCATATGGGATCAATATCTAAAACAAAAGATAAGCATTGATAAAAAATACTGATAAAGATATTCCTTATATCTTACATGTTTTGAGGATTCAAGAGCCAAAATCTTTATTTGTCCAGCAGTGAAAAACGTTGCTTTGACACCATAAAACTAAAACTATAAATCAAACATTACCAGAGTTACACCTGTCCTTGACGTTCCAGTCGATGTTAACTGGTGCTGTTTCGATGACCAGGTCCACAGTCTTGATCTCGTCTTGTCCACCAGTGAGACTCCACGTCATCAGGAAGCTGTGTCTGGTACTCTTTGGTGACTTCACATCATTCTGAAGTGTCAAGTCAAAAGGGGAAATGAAGATATTTGGTGTCAAATATGTTTGTATTTGTTGCCCAGGTTTCTGTGACTGCCTTTGATGCATTTCCACATTTAGATTTCAATTGGATGACATTTAGATACGCATTGTTTTGTCAGGTGCCTCCCACAGCAGCTGAATTGACTCACCTCATAATTGACTATGTAGTCCACTTTCTGGTTCTGTTGTATTCCAACGATCCATTTGTCCATCACAAAAGGTGGCTGCATTGTAATAACATTGGTTCATTAAAAAAATCTGACAACAGAATCCACACTAAAACAATCCTGTGGGTAAAACGCGACCAATTGGATCAGTCAACATTTAGCACTGATTAAATCATGAGTGGTAATGTATGTCTGACGACACCTTAGTCATCCGTAGGACTTCCACATCCCGTTGGTTGGCATTAAAGATTACGTCTTTGATGTAGGTTACTGCAACGTCATCTCCATCAAGTTCCATGTACATTTTCCATTTGCAGTCCTTGAAAGAAAAGAGTCATAATGTAGATTCTCTGGTACACTCAAAAACAACCCCTGATTATATGGAAAAGTTCACAACTGCACTACTCTGTGTGGAGAACTTGGTTACTCTTGTACATAAACCAACAGCACAGCCTAGAGGTAGTTTAATGGTAGTGGCAAGTTACTGGACACAGCATCATTCTGTGGGGGGAGAAAAGAAATTATAACATAAAAATAAGATAAAATAAATTACAAGGATACAAAAAATGAGCAATTATATCAAATGCAATTTGTATGCAATATTTGCACAGGGTAACACTTTATTCATGAAACATATTTTAAACATTAGAAAACATTTGTCTACTGTCTCAATGTCCTCTACATTTTAGTGAGAACTGTGTTATTTTCTAAAATCATTAAGGCATAGAGAAAGAAACAAATTAGTTTTACAAAGACATTCTAATATTCCTTGTCAAATATTAAATTTTTATTTATTAATTAATCTCAGCGGGGTCAATGATTATTTTTTTGGAACAGGGGATTGGTGAGGGTAAAAAATCTTTATTTTTCCTCATGAATTGTTGCATGCGGCACACATCAAATCCTCACTAGGAGGCACAAATCTGAACAATTCCCCAACCCTCTTCTCCTGCATAACCAATGCTGACGAAGCAGTAATGATTGTGCCAATCCCCAAAAGCCGACCACGAAGCCACAGGTCACTGCTTAACCACACAGGGTTCACGGCACAGGCCAATCCATTGTGTAGTGATCACAGAGAAAGACATCAGAGGAGTGGCACTAACACACTCGTCTGTGGAGCCTTCGCCCTCTCCTGCATCGTCCTCGGGGACTGGAAGCGGCTCAAAGGGGAAGCTTCAGCAAGCCTCTGGCTCAGAAACACACCAGTGGCCCCCGCGCTGGCCTGGTGTCGGCCCTGGACGGTCGCACCGGGCCTCCCAGGTCCATGCTAGTCTAATCACTCCAGCAGAAACAATGTCTGGTAATGATGCCTAGGCACCGAGTGCGTCTAATGACAACTCATACATAATTCAGCACCTTTCACTTGGCTGCACGGTGATATCCTCATTAGTAGGGGACCCTCAGTGGCTGTCAGATGGTGGCCGCACAATCGCAGGCCCTCATTTTGTCTTTGAGAAGTGCAGCTGCTTCCATGACATCGCCAGCAAAGAGGGGCGAAGAAAAAAATGCAGTGCGGGTTTGTTTTATTTAGTGCAAAAAACCTTCCAGTTTGTAAAAACAAGGCTGACACGGAACCTGACACCAGGCAGGGGAAAATAATTAGCTCTCATTTTCTCAGCCTCCTGTTTCCTTCTCCCTGCTGTGTTTTCTACCCACTAAACCACCACATGTCAGAAGAAATGGGAGGCAATTAGCAGGCTCGTTTCAGCCCTGCCGAACACACTGAAAGAGGACTATTTATGATGGGACAATGAACAGCTGAAAGATTAAATAACGTTTGCCTTTTAAAAAGAAAATGACTTCTGGCTAAATGGGCTATTTTTGATTAAATTCAAACAGCAAGTGAAGAGCCACCCTTTCTCCACAGTTTGAGACCCTAACAAAGGGCTGTGCGCAAGTTGAGGTGGATGTGGTAGATGGCTGAGAATGAGATGTTTATTTTTCAGGTTTTTATACATGTCTAGTGATGCCTTCAGTGGTCAGTGTAACGTCCATCATCATGAATCCTCAGAACAAAGAGCCTCAGTAGAAGGAGGCTGATTCAATCATGGCAAAACCATGATACTGTACATCTATTCACTAAGTAACAATTATTACCAAACTTGAAATTGAAAATGTGAGCATTGTTTACCAACCCTGATCAAAGCAGATAGGACATTTCTTTTTGACTGTCCCTAATCTTTTAGTTGTCCTTCACAGAGCCAGTGATGAGTTTCATCACATGCTCACAGCTGCAGACTATGTTAATGCAGTTACTGTGTGTGGTCTGTGTGTGTGTGTGTGTGTGTGTGCGTGCGTGTGTGTGCGTGCATGTGTGTGTGCGTGTGTGTGCTTTATTGCAAACTTACAGATTTCCCAGTTCCTGGTTTCCAGTGGTACCCGAACACCAGCTCCAGATTCACTGTTTTACTCCTTTCCACCTCCTTTTCCAGCTCACCCTGAGAGGGAAACATGTACATCATGGGCTGAATTATGTACTGAAAAGGAGATACAACTTC